GGGGACATGATAGCAGTAATCCAGTATTTGAGAGGCTGCCACAAAGAGGAGGGGGGGGGGGTCAACTTATTTTTCAAAGCACCAGAAGGCAAGACAAGAAACAATGGATGGAAACTAATCAAAGAAAGAATCAACCTGGAATTAAGGTTAAACTTCCTGGCAGTGTGAAAATTAAGCACTGGAACAGCTTGCCTTCAGTCATTGTGGGTGCTTCATCACTGGAGGTTTTTAAGAAGAGATTGGACAGCCATTTGTCTGAAATGGTATAGGGTCATCTGCTTGAACAGGGAGTTGGAATAGAAGACCTCCAAGCTCCCTTCCAGTTCTATTCTGATTGATTTATTGCCTAGTGGCAAGGAACACCATAAGAACAGAATAGGGATTGGCAATGGAAACAGCAAATGTTACCTTTGTATAATTTTAGGCTGCTCAAGGATAAATCAACAACAAATTAGCAGTGGGGAAAGGCTGAGAGACTTGGCTTAAACCAACTGTCAACTCTACAAATGTGCATGGCTGCAGTCATTTTCCTTCTAGGTTGCCACATAGAACGGAGGGAGGGGGGTTGCCCAGGTGCTTCGCTAGTCAAAATAATCTTTTGTCCCGTGGGAACCAAGGTCATCGGCAGCTCCTGAGACTAGGGACTAGGCGTTGCATTAAAAGCCCACCAAATAATCATATTGGGGAACATAATTGCTTACATAGCTTTTATGGGTGGGACATTTAACTTTGTATTGGGAAATTGTTGCTTGTGTGTCCAGATTTGCTTTCGTTCTTGACCGTGCCGATAGTAATTAATAAACATGTTCTTTAAGGAATTTTCAAGCCTTGGAGTTCTGCTTTATTTGTCTCTGTCTGTCGGAACCATGACACTAACAGTGAAATATCTGTGTTATTCTTTTTTTAAATTGCTTTAAAATAATGACAGAGAAATGGAAAAAACACACAAAAATAAAAATACAAGCATTGTCAAAGAAAAGAAAAACAAATAGAAAGTTTTTTAAAGTTAAAATTCAACAAAGAAAAAAAAGTATATTATTGCTGTTGTTCAGATGTTAAGTCATGTCCAACTCTTTGCGATTCCATGGATCACAGCACACACATACCCCACCCCATCCTCCACTATCTCCCAGAGTTTGTCCAAATTCATGTTCATTGCATCGATAACGCTATCTAACCATCTCATCCCCTGCCATCTCCTTCTCCTTTTGCCTTCAATCTTTCCCAATATCAGGGTCTTTTTAAATGAGTCCTCTCTTCTCATTTGATGGCCAAAGTATTTGAGCTTCACCTTTAGTATCTATCCTTCTGAAGGATAGCCAGGGTTGATTTCCTTATTGTAGTAGTAGACAGTTACAATTCTATATATAGTTATTCTTTCCAATGCTGCAGTATCAATCCTTTGGCCATAATAAGGGCATAGAGAATCCATTTAAGTTGTCCAGTGGTCAAATTCCAAGTATTTGTTAGTTCAAAAGATATTATGCTAATCCTTTTATTACTTTAATGTATTTCTGAGTATTAGGATGAATTATTAGATGCCTTCCCATCTATCTTTAATTGTTGACAGAATTCTTTATATCATCTTCCAAATTTTTCTCTCCTGTATCTTGTGGTAACAAGTTCCATAGGACTGTACTGCTCTTGAGCAAAGTTCCTCACATCAAACCTGTTTTAGCTGCTCAAATGCCATGAGACTGTCCCTCAGGTCACCAATGGACAGCAAGGCACACAAGATAATCTAACCCTGTCTTGGCAATTATTTTTCAAAGAAATCTTGTGCAAGTTGAGAGGCTTAAATGGATTTGGTAATGAGTCCAAATTTATTTATTTATGAGACTTATATACCGCTTTAAGTCCAAGCACTCTCTAAGCAGTGTATACCAGTAAGCAATGTATATATATATTTTACATTGCCCCCAACAATCTGGGTCCTCATTTTACCTACCCCGGAAGGATGGAAGGCTGAGTCAACCTTGAGCCGGTGAGATTTGAACCGCTGACCTGCTGAACACAGTCAGCTAAAGTGGCCTGCAGTACTGCACCCTAACTGCTGCGCCACCTCGGCTCATATAAATCTTTCTAGTTCATCATTAGAGAGTTAGCAAGCATCTCTCAAAACCTGGGTTTAACCTGGAGAGCATTTACTACTGATTTCTATTCTATGCTTATACCAGGTAGCTGACGGAGTAGTGTTTCAGCTAAACTTTCTCACCTTTGCAAAATCACTTTGGGTCTTCCAATGTGAAATTGTTTGAAATGTTTATTCTATTTCCTCATAACAATCTTGTAAAAGCTTTCAGGAGAACATCACTTCCTGGTGTAGCCTTGCCTTCTTACCTGGTGTTCTTTATGAGTTCTGCTGCTATTGCTTAATCATAGGTGAGAGATCAAGCTTGTCTGTCTTCCAATCCAGCTCTACCACCTATTGATTTTTTTCAACCTCCTGCCTAGAGTTTTAGCTAATAATATCCTCCATCCTTTGCGCTGTGCAATGTTATGGAGGTAGAAATCATGCCATGATATTAAGCAGATGCTACAGAAAACTCATTGAGATGAAACAGACTTGTAGAACTGGGTGGATTTCAAAAACTAAAATATGTGATACCAAGAAGATGGCATCACTTCCTAATACTCCTGTGGACAGGCAACTTGATGCTGACTTTGAGAGTCAATTATTAAACCATGGCCAAACAGTGGCTGTGATGAAGTTTCAAAGCTTTACAGCCGTAGATTCATCCTGTATGTTGCCTATTCTTCAGAAGGCACCTTTTAAGACAATAGAAAAATAAAACATTTGACTGAACAGGAAGGAATCGTGAAAACCCCAACTCTTTAGAAAATCGGATTTTCAGCTGGTTTCATTCTGATCTTTTAAATTATTTGCAACTAGGTTCATAACTAGGAGCAAAGTTATAAATCCCTTTTTTAAAACAATAATACACTGTTCTATCAGGAAGAGAATCTTCAGTTTTATGGATGTCAGATATTTATATTTGTCAGGATCTCATAAATTACTACAGAGAAATCTCATTCTCATCTATCAAAAGATCAGGCTGAATTCTTGCTAGATCCATTAATGGAAATTTTTAGCCTAATAATACTTGCCTAAATAAGGTTATAAATTCTTTTTGGTATCACATGTTTTAGTTTTTTTTTAAAAAATCCTCCCACTTCTACTAGTCTGTTTCATCTCAATGAGAGGTTTGTTTGTTTGTTTTGTAGCATCTGCTTAACACCATGGCATAATTCATTCCTTCATCCTACTGTTAAATCATGAAGTAGAGGCTGGTTTCATATATTATGACATCATGTGATTTATTTGGTTTTGGTTTCACATGTTCTGTGAAGCTCAACAGTCATGGTTTATTCCCATGTTATGGTTAGCATTAATACGAAATTAGATCCAGAATAGTGTGCAGTGTTCTTCAAGTTATTAATGCAATGTCTTCCTACTTCTAAACGTAACTTGAAACTCTGTTCACACAACGCATTTAACTAATCCTAGCTGATGCTCTTATTTAGGATTTATCTTAGGCTTGGTTTGTTTTAGTACAGGTAGTCCTCAACTTACAACAGTTCATTTAGTGACCGTTCAAAGTTACAACAGCACTGGAAAAAGTGACTCATGACTATTTTTCATACTTAAAATTATTGCAGCATCCTCGTGGTTACATGAGTAAAACTGGGACACTTGGCAACTGGTTTACATTTATGATGGTTGCAGTGTCCCAGGGTCATGTGATTACCTTTCGTGACCTTCTGATAAGCAAAGTCAATGGGGAAGCCAGATTCACTTAACAAATGTGGCAAGAAAGGTTGTAAAATGGGGCAAAATTCATTTAACAAATGTCTCACTTAGCAACAGATATGTTGGGCTCAATTGTGATTGTAAATCAAGCACTACCTGTATGTTGTCACATCCTAGTCCATCTGTTTATGATTCAGTGAGATCAAAGCAGACAAAAAGACAGATTTAGCAATGCAAATCCTGTTATATATGTTGCCAATGTGTACAAAGGAGTTGGAGCTTGCCTCACAATTCTGAATCCACCATCTCGCTCATTTTGGTACCATCACTATCCTTCTTGATACCAGTGATGTACAATAAACCTAGGAAAAAAGCTTTACTACCCAAATTAAATGTTTGGTACAATCATTGATGATTAGCGAAGAACCGTGAGCGCACAGTGGTTAGAATTCTGTACTGCAGGCTAATTCTGCCAACTGCCAGCAGTTCGATTCTGACCAGCTCAAGATTGACTCAACCTTTCATCCTTCTGAGGTCGGTAAAATGAGGACCCAGATTGTTGGGGACAATATGCTGACTCTGTAAAATGCTTAGAGAGTGCTGTAAAGCACTATGAGGTGGTATATTAGTCTAAGTGCTATTACCATTGCTAATTAAATTAGCATTCAATTACATAGCTTCCCCCATTATACTGGAACTCCTTTCATTAGTTTTAAGACCTTGGGCAATAGTTAATCATAGTATAACAAATTAATAATAATAATAATAATAGTTATTATTATTGGCCTTCGAGTCAGTGTTAATTCCTGGCAACTGCCTGGACAAGTCCCTGCAATTTTCTTGGTAAGATTTCAAAAGTGTTTTTCTATTGCCTCCTTCCTGTGGCTGAGAAAGTGTGACTGGCTCAAAGTCACCCAGCTGACTTCATGCCTAAGGCAGGACTAGAATGATCTTCTAGTTTCTAGCCTGAAGCCTTAACCACTCTCTTTATGATGAGGCACAACTATTTGTTCAGCACACATAATTCCTTCATTCTTCATTTCTGCAATTCAGTCGGAGAGCAGAATTTTGATCCAATTCTGATATAACCAAGAAAATGTGACTATTAGCTTCATGACCAACTGGAATTGAAAAGCAACTTCTACTCAACATTATGTGTTACTTTATTCCAAAACGGAAAGATATTATATTCTAGTTTAGCTAAACCAAGAAAATATGGTTCAGTAGAAGTCTCTTGGTTTATTTACAGGGTTTCACAATCTTTTTAAATTAAGGCTGTGCATGCTTTGGAAATGACTCAGAAGTACTTCAGACAGAACCTGCATGAATACAGTAAGTCTTTGGTATATATTAAAGCAGCTGTGTCTTTTTTAGTCTTCTGTAAAAAAAAAAAAGCTGGCTACTTTAAAGATTATACAGATAGTCCTCAACTTACAAAAGTTCATTTAGTGACTGTTCAAAGTTACAACAGCACTGAAAAAAGTGACTTAGGACCATTTTTTACACTTAAGACCATTGTAGCATCCCCATGGTCCTGTGATTAAAATTTGGACACTTGGCAACTGATTCATATTTATGACTGTTGCAGTGTCCCAGGGTCATGTGATGGTGATTTATGACCTTATGACAAGCAAAGTCAATGGGGAAGCCAGGTTCACTTAACAACCATTTTACTAACATAACAACTGCACTGATTCACTTAACAACTGTGGCAAGGAAAGTTGTAAAATGGAGCAAAACTCACTTAATAGCTGTCTTGCTTAATAACAGAAATTTTGGGCTTAATTGCAGCAGCATCTTTTTTTCACATGAACTCTGAAAAGAGTCAATAGTAGAATGATGTTGTACTTGTGTGTGGTCCAAAACCTCATAAACAGGTAGTCCTTGACTTAAGCCCTGAATTACGAGACACATATCATGTGACTGTGCTCGATTTTATGACCTTTTTTGCCATAGTGGTTAAGTGAACACCGTGATTGTTAAGTGAACATTGCACTCATTAAGTGAATCCATTTTATCCATGGGGGCATTATTTTTCCAGAAACGGGAAATAAATGCCAGAAAAAAAAATCATGATCATCTGACTGTAAGTCATTGCAAATAGCCATAAAGGTGAGCCAGTTGCCAAGTGCTCCAAATGTATTCAATCCTCAGTTTTCTTACATTGCTTTCTTCCACTTAATTCTATTTAAAGGACTAGGTGATGAGTATGTATCTTTGAATCAGTATTGACTGCTCATGACTGTCTGGATGAGTCCTCACAATTTTCTTGGCAGGATTTCAGAAGTGATTTGCCATTACCTTCTTCCTAGGGCTGAGAGAGAGTGACTGGCCCAAGGTCACCCGGCTGACAGTGTACCTAAGGTAAAATCAGAACTCATGGTCTTCCTGTTTTAAGCTGCACCAGACTGACTTTCCAAAGGACTAGGAGGATATCTCATTTCAGCAGGAGAAACTGAACATCTGTTCCTTATTAACATCTCTATTTTGGCTCTGGGTGAGAACTGACTTCACCAACTTTGCTAGAACCTTAGCAAAAAGTGTTCATAAGCAGCCAGTTTGGCCTAGTAGTTAAGGCATCAGACTAGAAAGAGGGAGACTGAGTTCAATGATGAAAGCCAGCTGGGTGACTTTGGGCCAGTCACTCTCTCTCAGCCCAACCTACTCACAGGACTGTTGTGGGGACAATAAGAGAAGTTGTGTTGCATATGTGTGGCACCTTGAGTTATTTGTAAAAATAATAAAGATAAGATACAAATAAATAAATCAAAATTAAATATATAGATCTGATCCAATACACCTAAGTTGTGAAGGGTCCTTGGTACTCTCTGAGCTTGTTTGTTTTCTTACAGAAGTTTCATTACGCAAACTAGATAACATCATCAGTGCAATAGTTTGGGTAATGCAATGTCTGCAAGAAAACAACCAAGTTCAGAGAGTACCTAGGACCTCTCATTTCAATCCTCAGCTACAAATATTCTTCTTTATTGGTACACCCAGTTGTATTAGGACTGATACATGGATAAGAGTAATACAGACCATTTAAGAAATGTAAACAGTTATTTAGTTCTCCCAGTGGAACAAACTTGAGAAGTTAAAAGTAATTCACTTTGGTTGAGTTTTGTTGTTAACAGCGCAGTTCTAACTTAACCCTAACTTAGAAATAATAAAGTTCAGTGGAACCGACTCTCAAGAAAGATCAGTGCAGAACTGTATTTTTAAATATGATTTAATTTTGATAGGATCCTAGTCAATTGGCTTGCAAGAATAAATTCCACGCATCTCCAATTGTGTAATTCACTGCTATTTGTTTAGATCTACGTTTAGACAGATCCCCAGGAGGATTATACTAATACTAGATCAGGGCTTTTCAACCTTTTCACCCATTGTATCACTTTTAGGATATGGCAACATCAGAGTACCACCCGTTGCCTAGAAAGGTGTCAAAAACTTGATGACCCAAAAAAAAAAAGGAAAAAAGTGATTTGATTGAGTTATTGTTCAGGCAATAGCCTGGACTGGTCTATGCCAGGGCTTTTCAATCTTTTCACCCATTGTATCGCTTTTAGGATATGGCAATATCCGAGTACCACCAGTCGCCCAGCAAGGTGTCAAAAACTTGATGACCCCCCCAAAAGGGAAAAAGTGATGAAGTACAGGTAGTCCTCGACTTACAACAGTTCGCTTAGTGACTGTTCGAAGTTACAATGGCACTGAAAAAAGTGTCCCCAAAGCCACAGCCGAGCAAGACACCTGCCTGCCCACCCGGTGGCACTCTTCCTCTTGTCCAAGGTTTTCATTGTTGTGAGCATTTCTGTTGAGGATTGGCAACGGGGGTGGGGGGGGGTGTTTGGTTTTTATTCCTCCCATCTGCTGGGTGGTTGCAGCAGGTTTTGGTCACTTCACATGACCCTGGGACACTGTGACCATCATAAATATGAATCAGGCCTGTTCCGGCAGGCCTGGGGTTGATGTCCCCGGGGGGGCCGTGACATGATTGGGACATGCTGTATGAATGCACTCATTTTTATTGTTATATTTTTTGTTTTAATTTTTTACGCCGCCCTGAGTCCCTAGGGATTGGGCGGCATATAAATTTTATTAATAAATAAATAAATAAATCAGTTACCAAGCATCTGAATGTAAATCACAAGACCCTGGAAATGCTACAACATTCTAGCTGATCGGCGCTTCTTCTGGGCTCAGCAGAAGCGCCAGGATCAGTGCTGAGCTCCAGCTGGAGCCTGTCGCTGATCCTGATGCTTCCACTGAGCCCTGACAGTCCCGAAGAAGTGCCGATCAGCTGGAAAGCGGCACTGATCCTGGCGCTTCCACTGAGCCCTGACAGCCCTGCAGCTCCAGCCATCTCTTGCTCAGGCTTGTGCGGTGTTGCCACCAGTTCAGCTCATTCCCCTCCCCCGCTACCACTTTTGTAGGATGGTCGCATACCACCTGCCAGGTGCCAATGTACCACAGGTGATACCCATACCACTGGTTGAAAAGCCCTGTACTAGATGACACAGGTCAAAAGGTGCTACAGCAGTAAATTTTGTGCATGAGTAGGGTCAGACTAAATAACCTTTAAAATATCTTCAGCCTTGTTCCTGTGCCAGCCTCCTGTCTATTATGCATAAAGAATGCGGTTGACAAGTGTTCCTTAAATCCTCAGCACTTGCCCTTTTTAAATAAGAGATTATAACATTTCTGCTTCTCTTCAAATTTAAATATAAACAGACAGAATTCTGATACAACATATCCAGCGTGAGTGCACACGTTTTCCAAAAGCATAAATATATTTTTCCTTGTCTCTGGAAGAAATGGCTCAACTTTCCATTTTGATGTCTGCTTAATTGCAAGGTATTTCTTTTTCCAAGTGAGACTGTAACACTGTCTTGATCATTGGGAAAGCACAGTTCATGCAGCTATAAAAAGAAAAAAAGGTCAAAGCTTTAATGGGATTTAATTTTTACTCTGAATTCTCAGAATGCTTCTTGAGTGGAAGAGCAAATCTATCCTCAACTCCAGATTGTTGTAAGATCAAACCATACCAGTCATGTAGAAATGAAGACTGGTTATCTTACTCAGTGATCAGTTGGTGGAGTAAATAGCAATTGAAAATTCCAAGGTGGATAAGGAATGGGAAAAAAATTATGAAAGTTCAAGAAGAATGGCAAGATTTACCTAGAACAGTGATTCTCAGCCTTTCTAATGCCGTGACCCCATAATACAGTTCCCCATGTTGTAGTGACCCCCAAGTGGGTGTGGCCACCAATAAGAGGGAGTAGGACAGCTAGGGAAAAGGGAAAAAAATGGCAGACAGCACGGTTTGGCGACCCCCATGAAATGGTTATTCGACCCCAAATGGGGTCCCAACCCACAGGTTGAGAACCACTGACCTAGAAGGAGGCTGGAGCTTTGTGTGTGTTATCTTGAGATCCTGAAGAATAGGCTGGGTGTAATTTAATAAAGACAGAAATTCATTCCCTCTTTGAAGTTTTTAACCTGGATGGTCTTTCCATGTTCTGTACTAGCTCTTTCCAGACTGGATTCCAGTATAGATATAATGGTATGTATGGAAATTATCTTAGGAGATGAGATTGAGAGGGGGAGAAGAGATGCTACCTAGAAATGATCAGATAAGAGAGAATATAGGTAGTCCTCAACTTATGACCACAATTGACCCCAAACTTTCTGCTGTTAAGTGAGACATTTGTTAAGCGAGTTTTGCCCCATTTTATGACTTTTCCTGCCACAGTTGTTAAATGAATCACTGCAGTTGATAAGTTAGTAACCAGGTTGTTAAGTGAATCTGGCCTCCCCATTGACTTTGCTTGTCAAAAGGTTGCAAAAGTTGACCACATGACCTTGGGACACAGCAATGGTCATAAGTATGAATCAGTTGCCAAATATCTGAATTTTGATCACATGATCATGGGGATGCTGCAATGGTTGTAAGTCTGAAAAATGGTCATAAGTCACTTTTTCAGAGATGTTGTAACTTTGAATGGTCACTAAATGAATTGTTGTAAGTTGAGGACTACCTGTACAGCCTGAAGCTTCATACAGGTAGTCATCGACTTATTATGACAATGGGGACAAGAAGTCCATGGTTTAGCAAGGTGGTTGTTAAGTGACTTGAATCCAATTTTACAACTTTTTTGCCAGAATTATAAAGTGAATCACAGCAGTTGTTAAGTAAATCATGTGGTCATTAAGTGAATCTGGCATTCTCTCACTGACTTTGCTGGAAGCTGTCTGGGAAGATTGCAGATGGTAATTACAAGACCCGGGAATGCTGCACCCATTGTAAATACATGCTGGTTGCCAAGTGCCCACATTTTGATCATGTGATCATGCAGATGCTGCAACAGTCATAAGTGCGAAGATCAGTTTATAAGTCATCTTTTTCAGCACCATTGTAATTTTGAATGGTCACTAAATGATGGTTGTAAGTTGAGGACTACTTCTAATGGGGAAAAAAGAAATTCAGAAGTGAACTTCGGTAATTTCTAAGGCTGTAAAAAAGACAGCTGGAGATTTGTACTATCAAGATTAATATATCTGTTAATATAGCCTTGCAATAAAGTAGAATTACTCATCTGGTCATGTTTCCTATCTGATCTACCTGGGAAGGCTGGCAATAGCAGTAGACTCTAAGCAGAATGTCTCTTCCAATGGAGAAACTGTGCAGATACAATACTTAACCTGGCTGGCATGCAATTGTTTACCTGATACCTATAGTATAGTTCTCTGTTTCAAGACCAAGCCCAGATTAAAGTTAATGCAGCTGCAGGCCTTGCCAAAGGAATCAAAAGGATTATAAAATCATTTCTCTGAAAATAATCACTAATATATTTTAAGCAACTTCCAGCTTCTTAATACAATACAAAAAGATTTGCTAAGATAACCGATAGAGGGCAGAAGAGACCACAGAAAGATTCCTACACAGGCTAAGAAACCAGAGTGAGTTTGGCAGGTTAATTTAATCAGCTGCTGCAATTTCCTTGGACTTGAATTAGATATGGCCTTTGAATCTAACCTCTTATATAGTGCAGGAATCCAAATTAAAGTGTCTCAGATGTTGCGTTCATCCTCTGCTCGAATGCATTCAGTGAATGAGAGACCTCCTCCATTCTTGTCTTACTATGAGGAAGTTTTTTCAGTCAAATCTTCTTTTCCATTATTTTGTGTCCTAATTCTGCAACAAGAACAAACTGGTATTGATCATGTACAAGACCATCTTTCAAGTATTTGAAGAGAGCTATTTTGCACCACTTCTTAAAGCCAAACAAAGCTTCTTCTATGTTTCTTTATGGGGTTTAGTTTTCTTCCCCTTTTACCTGTGGAGATTCCTCGGGTACAAAGCAGGATATGAATCTAAAGTCAAGATTCCATCTCTAATTTGGAAGAGGGTGAATGCAGATAGTTACTGAGCAGAAGAATAATTCAGAGGCCATCCTTATATAAGAGTTTTGTTAATTTATTTACCATTCTCCAGTTGAATTATATAGTAGCATATGCTATTTCAGTTATTTTGGCATCTCTGCCATCCTAATTTAGGACAGCCAAAAATAAAGTATTCATTAACCAATGCCTAACAAAGAGAATCAGTTTGGCAGTGGTTAAAGCACCAGGCTAGAAACCAGGAGACTGTCCTGCCTTAGGCACAAAGCAAACTGGGTGACCTTGGGCCAGTCTCACTTTCTCAGCCCTAGGAATGGCAGTGGCCAACCACTTCTGAAAATGTTGCCTAGAAAACTGTAGGGACTTGCAGGAGTCCGAGACTGACTTTTGACAAACAAAATCAGCAACACAACAAAAAAGCAAAGAGGATTTTTGCTACTATAAGGTGCAGTGAGAGATGTTAGGCTTGATGGCTTTTTAAAAGAAATTGGGGGAAAATCCCATGAGTTTATGATCCGTAAGTCAGCATACCTTTACTATACAAAACAGTTAATGTACTGTAAGTGTATTCTGCTGTTTCTGCTTCTGAGTTTCCACTGTTGGGGACAAAGGGAGGTGAATCAAACAAAATTGTCCTCAGAACTAGTAAGGATGTACCTGCCACCTTAATTGCTAAATGTTCTTTCCCTTTCTCTTCTGTAGAATATTTTATCACGAAACTTTTGACACACATTCTCTTAACACCTGCATCCACTGTTGCACTGATGGATGGAATCACTGTGTTGGAATGAACCACAGGACGCAGATTCATTTCCCTGCTCTTAAAAAGGAACAAAACCAACATCAGTTTGCTGCCCAGTGACACAGCCCATTTCCTGGCGTCTAAATCTTTTCTATGTATTGTTTCCGTTCTGTTTGTTTTTCTGATAGGGCAGCCCACACTGGAAAATCCCCAGTTATCTGAATGCCGTGTTGACTGTGCCCACCACTTTTCATTGGTTGTCTCTCTTGCTTCGCTTTAATGCACTCCAGAATGGCAATTCCTGTGTGTGAGTGCTTTCCTGTTTCATAACTTCGTGTTGCTTATTATCCTTATTTTTCTTCTGGGCCCCAGTATGCTGAACTCTAGCCAACCTCTGCCCCCTGCCTCAACTACCTCCATCCCCTAAAATATTAAATAAACCTCTGGCTTTTAGACATTTGGATCTCATACTTGAGTTTTCCATTGCAGTTTTATAAGCTGTATGCTGGCTCCCTGAGAGCCAAATTTCATCCAGAAAGTTGTATAACCTCAATTGCACAAAACCCAGCATAATTCATATTATAAATATGACACAGAATAGAAAATTGGTCTTGTACACAGATAGTCCTTGACTTATGACCACAATTGTCCCCAAAATTTCTGTTGCTAAGACAGTCGTTAAGTGAACTTTGCACCATTTTACTACCTTTCTTGCCACAGTTCTTAAATCACTACAGTTGTTAAGTTACTAACACAATGGTTAAATCAATCTGCCTTCCCCATTGACTTTGCTTATCAGAAGGTTGCAAAAGGTGATCACATGACTCTGGGACACTGCAACTGTCAAAATACATCCCAGTTGCTAAGCATCCAAATTTTGATCATGTGAGCATGGGGATGTTGCAATAGTGTGAAAAATGGTCATAATTCACTTTTTTCAGTGCTGTTGTAACTTTGAACAGTCATTAAACAAATGATTATAAGTTAAGGATTACCTGTGATCAGTTTGTGACAACAGAATTATTTTGGCTAGATACAGGATAGGTTTGTTTTTTTAGCTGGAAAGGATTATTATGACATCACTGCTTCTGAGCCCAATCCATTTCACATGAGCGAAAGTGAAAAGGTCTAACATTTTTGGTCTTTTTCAGGAGGGTTTGTTCATTGGGTCCAAGAGACCATTTTCAGTAAAAGAAACTATGCATTATAATCTTATTTAGCTTTTTTGCACTGCCTGATCATTTTCCCAACTGAAGCACATAGCCACATAGTTAAAAAAAGAACCCAGCTGAATAGGTGCATGCAATTTCTCTTCTCAATATGCGTGGGAAATATTATGTACTACCAGTTTTCTGAGCTACAATTAGTGCAAAATTAATTTGTCTTATGGGACAATTCCTGTATACCATCTGGTGAATGGTTTGCAGGAAAGCAAAGAGACATTTAATGCACTGTGCTGTGAAATCCACATCAGAGACAAGAATGAAATATTCCCTTTCTCCAGGGCCGGAAAAGGGAATGATTGGAAATCTCAGCTGACACCAGACACAATGGCACTATGTATTATCCTGAATGCTGACATGGCCTGTAGCCCCCCTCTCTGATTTCTAACCAACATATTTCACCACCTTTGTTGTCTGTTTTTTCTTGAGACATGAATGTCCCAAAGGTGCTTTTCCAAAAGGCAACTGGACTTTCCTGTTTTTTTTTTCCTTGAAAACATTTCACTTCTCATCCAAGTCCATGAGAGGAAAAACATTTTCAAGGAAAAAAACAAGAAAGTCCAGTTGCTTTTTGGAAAAGCACCTTTGGGACAACCATGACCTCGACAATTGAGAATCTCCATAGACATTGAGACAGAATAGAAATTGACCCAGCAAGGGGATCCAGAATGAAATATTGTCTAGAATAAAGTAATGTCTAGAATAGAAGGTAGGTAACCGCAGATTCACGTTATGCAAACCATGATTTCTCTATTTGTGATTCTCAGAACCATCTCTGTCCATGACGAATATATTGTTCCAGCCAGGGAAACAGAGGAAAACTGCATGCAGGTTCTTGAATAAGGTATAAGTGTAAAAATGAGTTGAGATTTTGGTAACTACATTCATGCCTTTTTCTTGACTTTGTGTTATGAAAGTGGTCTGCTGTTGCTCCTGCTCTTCTCCATTTTCCAACAAGTCTGGAGATAAAGTGCTGATTCAAGTACTAACAAGGCTGATCCTCCTTAGCTTCCCAAGACAAGTCAAAGTTGGTAAAGCACTGCCACCTACTGAGGCATCAAACAATAACAATGAAAGCACCTTCCATTTATACCCTAGAGCTGTGTATGTGTGATGAGGTCCCATCTATATTATGGTCCTCTTTCTACCCAGAAAGTTAGACATGGTCCTTGTCCACTCTTAGTTGAGACAACCTGCTTTTTCAACAGTCTAGCACAGGGGTCTTCAAACTTGGCCCTTTTATGACTTGTCCACAAGTCATAAAAGGGCCAAGTTTGAAGACCCCTGATCTAGCAAGACCAAAGGGCCAGAGAAAGAATCATTGATCAATTCCACATTTGGAAATATATCGGGGCTGGATAACCTGACTTGCTCCAGATGTTGGTTCTAATATTCTTCAGCATCAATAATTTCCTATTATTATTGGTAATAGTAACTATAATCTAATTAATTCTGAAGACCCCAAGTTCCAGAGTTATCATACAGACCTCTACAATTTATAAATGGAGGGGTACCTAGACCACATGATGCAAGGGATCTAAAAGGTAGAAAGAGGGGATCTAACCAATAGGGGCCCTTAACCTATTTGGCAACAGTTGGCCAACTGTGGCTATTTTTCATGTTACCTGCCCCTTCTGTGTTGTCAGAATGAAATTTGTTAAGGCATGGCTACAGCATAATTTGCTTTTTGGTGTGCAAACATTTGCTCAACACTTTTTCCAGGACCCAACAGGAATGGAGAAAAATGAACTACAATGACACAGCCTTTTGAGTTGTTAAAGTTGTTTTGTTCTTTCTTAATTTCGGATTGCTGGAATGAAGGTGTTAGGCTCCAGTGCTTACAAATGGAATGAGGGCCAGCAGGCTTGGTAACTTGTACACATCTAACCAAAAGTTTGGTTCTTTCACCTACTTCCTATAAAAGTTGCTTCATAAGTGGTTTTTCCTACCCATAACCTCTAGTATGCTTAATGGGGTCAAGTTGGGGGGGGGGGAAATAAAATATATTCAAGCACTAGCATTAGAGGAGGAGTAAGTTTTACACAAAACAGCCCCAGAGTCGTTTGGAGCTAAACTAACTGTTCCTGATCTTGTCTGAAAATGGATGTGATGGAGATCTGAATTGTTATTAGGGCTCTTCAGGAGTGGATTTAAGTAGTAGTGTCTTTTACTGGTCTCTCATAATTACTCTCTAGAAGTGCCAGACAGTGTTGAGAAAATATGTCCTTAGTTTACCATGATTCTAACAGGTGCTACACCCCACTGCAATGTGCTTCTTAGTCACTTTTGCCTTTGAATCTGGATGACTTGACGCAGCAGAAAATTAACAACAGAAGGGCGTAGAAAAGTACAAAGTCAAGTATAGAAGTAGAACCTTTAGTAAAACAGGAAATAAACTTAGTAAAGGTAAACAGTCTAGGGCAGTGGTTCTCAACCTGTGGGTTGGGACCCCATTTGGGGTCAAATGACCATTTCACAGGGGTCGCCAAATAACGCAGTCTGCCATTTTTCCCCCCCTTTTCCTTAGCTGTGCTACTCCCTTTTATTCTATTGGCTTTTGAAAGCCAATAGAATAGGCTCTCTTGAATAGAGTCTAATTCTATTGGCTTTCAAAAGCCAATAGGAATTGTCCAGGCTGTCTCTGCCCTGCTGAGCCCACCAAAAGTCCCATTCTGCTACACTTCGGCTGGCGCAGGGGGCGGCACCACGCATGCGCGGTGCTCCCGGGCAGGGAAAGTCCTCGACTTACGACCGGTTGGGGGTCGCGGTATTAAAAAGGTTGAGAACCACTGGTCTAGGAAAAAGTCAGGTGGGTTGATAGGTTGGGCACAAACTTTCCAGCAAGATTGAAGTATAAGTTACTTTTTACCTTTCATTAAATCAGAAATATTCCATTATTGTCTTAAAGAAAGTTGGGGAAATCATTTGGGTGCTAGAATTTTGCAGAATTCTCTAGGAAACTTAAATGCTTAGATTAAATAATATCTGTAAATAACAGACTTGTTAATGTTGGCAAGAGAACTGCACACAACTTTACTCATTAAAGCAGAATTTATCAGGATTTTTATATTACAGATATAAAGTTTCTAATATTTTACTAATAAAGATTTTTTATTTACACTGAAAATTTGACAAAATAGTAACTATACTGTTGCCAATGGTAAACAAATTTTATATTGGTAAAAATCCATGGTAGTGATGCAAGATAGATGGCTCATTACAGTAATGATAGGTGCACCATGGGAAGACCTGAAAGACCAGATTGCAAAGAGATTATCATGGAGAAAATCTGTGTAGATGGTCAACACTGATTTGATGGCACATAATTAATCATGATGGTGATTAAGAGCATTCAGTAATATGTGCATTGCAGGTTGATTATACTTTTGTTTGGAAACAAAATGATCCAGAACATAGAAAAATAAATATGGATGCCTTCTCCTTCTGCTGTTAGCACAAAAGAGAGCTGTCTGTGGGCTTAAAGAAAATAATTCTAAGAACTTTCTCAGTTCAAATACTTTTCACACACAAACATAATCCAGGAAGGACTGAAGTGGACTTCTCAGAATTTGAGGCCATTGACAAAAAGTGTTCTTGCTGTTAAGAAAACTTTCAGCGATCAGCCTTTGAAATTCCACCAGCTTTGAGTGTATTGGAGAAAATTTTCATATAGGCTAAACCAACAATCATATATTATCAACAGTTAAAAAAAATCTTACAAAAATAAATTTGCATAATATATAAGCTATTTGGAGTAAGAAATGTGAATATTTTATATAACAAAAGCCAATGGCCTGGAGTTTTAAGAAATGATAAATATGTTTCTTATAATAATTAACTTGGTTAATTCAACAGCAACAACAAACAATTCTTTGTGTATATTGGACTTCTCAACAGATGTTTGAAAGAACCATGGAGATGTAATAAAATTGAATTAGCTTCTTGGGAAGAAATTCAAGTTTAAAGATGTTAAGGCACTGTTAAATTATATCCCCCCAAATCCATCATTTATTTTCATATGAAGAGCTTTGGATGTATTGTGCTGGGCTGTAGCAAAATTAATGATGACTAACAGTGATGATGTGTTCTTGGATCTGCATGCCAGACTCTGAAGTTTGGCTTAATGAAATTTGCCAGTTCCCAGTCTTTCAATTGGCTGTTGATCAACCAAAAGGAAAGATCATAAAGTACACATCCATGTGGCTCAGTTTGTTGCTTAAAAACTGAAGTTTATGACTTTGATGAAGATGTCATTGTCTCTCTATTTGATAATATAAAAATAAAACTTTAGTATTTTTTCACTCTATTTTCCCTAATTGTTTGTCTTAGTTTTCTTGACACACAGATAATCTGTCAGTCAGGTTTAAACTGGTTGAATGGCATTTATACATTTCATATATTTTTCTTGAACGTTTGAAGAAAATTGATACAATTAATTTTTTAAAACATGAAACTACAGGGAAATGCAGCAGAATACGAGCTCATCTTGATTTATTTTTTTCTAACCGTTAGAAATGGTCATTTTGTTTTTAATGGCCATCCTTGTTCATCTGCCTTTGACTCATGCAGAGATATACATATCATTTCTCTGTGCTGGCCAAGCTAAAACTATAAAACTAAAACCCACAAAGAAGAGTGGGTCACGTTATTCACCAAAGCACCAGAGGGCAGGACAAGAAATAATGGTTGGAAACTGATCAAAGAGAGAAGCAACCTGGAATTAAGAAGAAACTTCCTGACAGTGAGGACAATCAACCAGTGGAACAGCTTGCCCCCAGAAATCGTGGGCGCTCCATCACTGGAGTTTTTCAAGAAGAGGCTAGACAGTCACTTGTCTGAGTGGTATAGGTTCTCCTGCTTGAGCAGGGGGCTGGACTAGAAGACTTCCAAGATCCCTTCCAGATTCTATTCTATTCTATTCTATTCTATTCTATTCTATTCTATTCTATTCTATTCTATTCTACTCTACTCTACTCTACTCTACTCTACTCTACTCTACTCTACTCTACTCTGTTTTATTCTATTCTATTCTAACCAGTGTTAACTTTTAGCTTTAGTTTAAGGTGAAGAGTAAAGTTAAAAGACTTCACTGAGTTGAGTTCAATCCTTGGCAATTACGTGTATGTGTACTTGTTGTTTTCCTGGCAATTACGTGTATGTGTACATTTTCTTTTCTGGTTCCCTATTGTCTTTTAAGATAAAAAAAGGTTAAAGGTTTCCCCTGTCATGTCCAACTCTAGGGGGCAGTGCTGATCTGTTTCTTAGATGAGGGAGCCAGTATTGTCTGAAGACATTTCCATGGTCATTTGGCCAGTATGACTGACTATATGCTGAGAACGTTGTCACCTTCCCACCAAAGTGGTGCCTATTTATCTACTCGCATTTGCATGCTTTCAAACTGCTAGGTTTGCAGGACCTTGGGCAAGAATGGAAAGCTTACCCTATCATGCAGTACTTACATCTCAAACTGCGAACTTTTTGGTTGACAAGCCCAGCATCTTAACCGCTAGGCCACCTTTCCAATATAGCTTACAGGAGTTCCTGTAATCAGACCTTGTCCTGTTTAGTAGTTTCAGGATTGGCCAAATTTAACTAAGTGTTGCCCTGTGCTGTCTTGATGTTGGAACTTTTTTCAATGCAATGAGGTTATAAAGACATTGTCTCTGAACATGTGGAAATTACTGTTCTGTTTCAATTAAAGAATTGAGGAACAGATAATTGCTCAGTCAATTTTCTGCACCATCATAGTAATAACTGCCTCTTCTGATTTGCTTCTCTCTGGCTTGGTTTTTGCATCGCATTAAGCTATGGATTGTTTCAGTGATGATTTGTTGAATAAAACATGAGCTATGCTTGATCACATTCATTATGGTCAACAGAACTGCACTTTACTAAACTTGTCTCAGTTCACACAACACACTAAATGATAAACTAAATTGGTAAACCATGTTTTAACTTAGCACGCTATGTGAACCAAGCTAGTGTCTGATTTCTCCCATCACAGTAAGTGGTGATTAAACTTATGATGTCTAACTAAATCATTACTAGTTGGGCTTATATAGTACATTAAATGATGATGCACAATATTTTGCAAACCAACTTATCAAGCAAATCATATGACAGTCAAGGCAGCAATTTAATAGTTCTTTCATGACTGTAAGAATGATTAAGCAAAGGAACAGCT